CAATTTCAGATAGTTTATATGTAAAGCATAGTAGCTAATAAAAACAAAGAAGTTCTGTTAAACTGTGAACTTAATGTCGCTGACACTAGAGTATAAATGTAAGAAAAAAATATAAAGTATGACAGTATCAAAAAATGCAGAGTAAAAGAAGCAAATAAACACATATGAAGATGCATTACTCTAGGTAGAAACGTGCAATTCAAATAGGCATCTATCTTCAAATAAAATAATAATCCAATTCAAATATATTTTCCTCATACAGTAAATTTTCTTATGGCATTCCTCTATGCCATAAGAATGCTAGAACTTAGGAGGCTGAAGCAGGAGAATCATGAATTTAAAGTTAGTATGAGCTATATAGCAAGTTCTGGGCTATCCTGGACTACATAATGTCTGAAAAACAGCAACAAGAAAAACATACATTTAAAATCATAGTAGTTTCAGGAAGAGCAAAGATTTTAAAAATCTTCAGACATTATGAATCTCCATGTTGACCTCACCTGTAAGTAGGAAAGAACCAAATGTTGAAGGAATAAAACTTATTCAGTGGCTACTGAATCATAAATTCTTTTAGAACTCCTTGATATCATTGCTCACAGTCTAACTGGGACAGATGCTATTGGCACCCATCCCTATTCCATATATGCCAACCTAATATGTACCTACCTGCCCAAGACTGCAGTCCAACTTCTGCAGTGCACATGGCAGGTTGGGCATGCAAGGAACTGGTGCCACATGGGGACAGTCATTAATTTTGTATGTGCAAACACATTTTCCCCTTGAAAATATGAGCTTCTGTGTACTATCACGCATAGAATGTATTGTGGTTTGTAGAGTGGCACAGAGGATGAGCTCAGCTTACTCAGTGATGTGCTGTTTAATAATGTGTCACTTATTAGTTCTCTTCTTTATTTCCCACATTTCTTTAAGTCTTTTCCAGAGTTGCTTTCCAAATAAACCATTTAAATTTAAATCTTTGTCTCAGTGACTGTTTCTAGGGAAACATAAATCTAATTTGATATCAGCAGTGGTCTTGATAAACAGATGCTCAGAATAGATTCTAGAAGGGAATTGTTTACCAGACACATAGCAACAATGGGGCATACAGAAGAGAATTGGAGCCAAGGAAACTGCTCAGATAGTCAGCATCATAATGGTAAGATTTCAGCCTTTGGTAATCTCAACAGAATTCAGACTGATAGGAGATGTACTTGCCTTTGAGAAATATGAAGACACCAATAAGTTCATTGGCCCTTAAATTCCACTGAAGAAAACAATTGCCTCGGGCCAGCCAACCTCAAACTAAGAACAAAATACGAAAGCCAGAAAACTTGCAGAAATGCTGGAAAAGTGATTCTCATTTCATACTGTAGGAGGGTTAGCCTTTGCTAGAAATCAGGATTTGGGGTTTTAGAATCACTATTATAAAGATGGTTGTTCACACAGCCAGGGCAGATATCTATGTAAAATCATGGTACTGATAAGCAAGGAATAGCATTTAAAACTAGGAGGAGGAGGTGTGCGTGGATGCTCTTTTGAACACTGATCTCTCAGTTGCCCTTCAAATGCTTGCATACAGCCTGTTCTCATCAATTAGAATACAGCAGCTTCTCTCTTCTTAGACAATTAAGGATGATATTTGTTCTCCTTATGAACCGACCCCATATCTCATTGCTCTAGGCAACAAAGATGCCAAGTCTGAATGTAGCCCACCTGTGAAAGCACAGTTTGTAACAGGAAAACAAGAAAACAATGTATTCAACAATAGAACAGAAGATCTGTCAAGCACGAACAAGTTGAAGCTAGGAGTACATGCAGGGAATGAGTATTGAGGGAACCTGGTGGCAAAAATGCACTTCACATTGGGTGTGGAGAAATAGATGCCCTGAAATATGAAAATACTTGTTCTTTTATACAGAATTAAGCAGTTTGGTCGGTTGGTCAAGGTCACAAAAGAAGCAATATTGGAAGACAACCCTTGGACAGAAAGTTAGAGAAAAAGCTGAGGACGATAGACCATTGGAGAAGACATGAATTTTGCCTATCTGTGTCTCACACCAGTGTTCATTAGAATCATCACAAGTCATGTACTGGATATTTGGGTGGGTAATATTTTCAATTGGAAGCCATCATCTCTGTCTATAGTAACTGCAGTGAAGGATTACAAAATGAGTCTGTGGGCAGAACATACAGCAGAGAGAGAAGATAAATTTGGGACTAAAAAGCACAGGCTTTTCTCAGCTATTTTCATAATGCTACAGTCACTGGTAAATGGCTAGCCCACTAGGAACAATCCAGTTCAGAGTCCTTAATTTAATAATACCCATATGGAAAGCAACCAGCAACTTGATGTAAGAAATTGCTATATGTTAGATCTCTAGAAAAGGGATAAATTTTGCTTTTCTTATTAACACAAATCTGGTTCCAGGATTCTTTTTCATAGTGTCTTATCATTAGTCCTAGAGTTTAGGGGGGTTTTGATCATGAGATTCTGCTTAACATCTCAAATGAAGCAAACTAGTTTACAACAAAGGAAGTCTAATAATGAGCACATGACTAAATTTGCTGGCCTACCTTTTGCCACTTCTAAGAATTGGCCTGGATAATCTTTGGAACATTCTTCTTTAAAAGTTTTCTCAGGCTCCAAGAGAATGGAGAATAACACTCTGTTTGTGGATGCTGTTCTCTGTACTAGACTGCACTTATACCAGCTGATAAAGAGCAGTTGTTAATTTTCCAGGAACTTTTAGAGCTATGTGATCTCAAATTAGTAGCTTGAAATTGACCATGGTGTATTTGCATCATGAAAAGCATCCTGCCCACTCACCTATTGGTCCTGCCTCCAGAAAATAGAATGCACAAATGTAAAAACCAAGGAGGAGAAGGAGGCATCTCTACCATCACTACAACTCAAAGAGAACCACATAGGAAATGTATACTTCCTGTGTCCATGGAAATATGCCTGCTTTTCAAGTGCACGTGGTAGGGTCAGGGTTGGAATACACTTACAAGGGCCATTAAGAGAGTTTTATTAACATAAATGTATATTTGCTCTCTGAATATTTTAAACTCCTTATTCCAGGTAATCACTATGTTTAAAAAATTAGGATATTATTATGACAATTGCTTTTATTTAGTGGAGGCGAAGAGGATTGTTCATGGAATTCAGGGAAGTCCATGTTTGGTGATGATTATGAATAGATAATTGTAGATTCACTATTTGAATGGACACAGAAACGTTGGCTTTTAGGCCTCTGGTTAAAAAGGCATCCTACTGAGAAAGATACTGACAGAAGAGGGGACCAAGAATGCAGGGAAATTAGGAAGAATATTAGAGGAGAGAAAAGACAAAAATAAATTATGATCTCGGCACAAGCTTTAGAGGTCCATCATCTTCGTGTCTCATATTTAGTTTTGTTTGTTTTTGTAAAAGTGTGATGGGCTTCCATCTTTAAGTTTCATTCATTTGATAGGGTAGGTAGCTAACATCCCCTAACCTCAAGAATGTGTAATTCTCTGTTTCTGTACACCCTCTTGTGACCAGAGTCTGTTCTGACCACATGGGGACAGTTGGTACTTCACACTCCAGCTCCTCAGCATTTACAACCAGGAAACTCTGAAGTGGCTATTCCCAAAGGCTTCTAGACTTTCTCAACAGAATAGATTTCTTTTGTTAATATTTTTTAAATTCAATTCTCCCTTCCCCTGTCTCTCTCCACCCCCTTAACTAGTACTATTTCCTGTGATCACCTCCAAAATAAACTGCCTTTCCTCAACCCATGACTGAGGTTCAGATTCTACAAGAGGTCAAAGAAAGACAATAACTGCATTTAATATTTGTTGATTTTAAATGAATTGCATTATATGATAAATTCGAACTAAATAGAATGTATTTAAGCCATTCTCTTTTACTATGTAAAAGATATTCTGTTAACCCATTACAAAGCTTTTGTAATTGATTTTTTATACACATATAGCTGGATATCTTTCTGATCATCTTTTTTGAGATGAATGACATGAAACGAAGTCCCAACAAGAGTTTGACAGTGTTCCTTGTAAATTTATTAAAACTAGGAAATATCTCCAATTTATTCTCACAGAGAATTATATACTGTCAGACATTGTAGAAAATGGGTTCTCAAGTCTATGTGTAACCTTAGAATATCTCAATAGCATTTTATGGATAAATACTTTCCCTCTTAGTAAACATCACTAATCTATGTACCTGAAGCTTCACTTGACATGAGATTATACTGACCCCCTGCTTCCTCTGATTCCAGGAAAGGGAGAAAATCAATCTCAGACTAGCTAGTTTAACTTCGTCCTTCCAAGTGATTTTAGAGACGTATGTTCTCATTTGCTCAGTACAACACCCCTCACCATCTACTCTTCCTCCTCCACCTACATTTCTATGACCATTGCCACTTCAAATACAAAACTACAAACAATAAAATGGTCATGAAATATGTTGCCTAAATTCTATAGATTAAAATGAGACATGAAAATAACCATTTTTCTTTTCAATTTGCTTCAGAGTTCAGTTGTTTCTAGCTGTAAGAAGGTCTAAGATCCTTCCAAGCACATTCAGTTGCCTCTTGGTTCTTGTGTTAGTAAAATCACAATGCGATAAAGATAATTGTCCAGGTTGAAAATGAGCATACAAAATTAACTGTTCAGTCATGCTGCCAAGACGCTACTCCATCAGATGTCTGAATGGTGTTTGGGAGCGAAGTGTCTCACAATACCAATGTGGGCTCCCTTGAAAGAAGAAAGGGAATGCTTCTCATTTATAGTCATTGTTTCAATTACTTTCTTCAGTGGTAAATGCTCAAACGGGATATTGGGTTGGAAGTAAAGGGGAATATATAATGGACAGCTCAGTAAAGCAGCTTGTAACACAGAGACACCTCAGCCTACCTAAAATAAAACACACAGTGTCTAATGTGGAGGGAAGGGATGACAGGAAGGTGAAATTCAGGAGTGCAGTCACCCATACTCACTGAAGCTACGTTCACGAAATCGTCATCTGAGAGGGTCTCTAACATTTCGGAGACTGATGTTCGGATAAGTTTCAGAGTCAATCCGCTAACACTTCCACTCCTATGAACACACAAATGGGTCCACATGTTATTCAAAAGGCATTTAACAAACAGCATCATAAAGGAAACTAGGAAAATGATGAGATCACTAACTTCCAGATCATTACATGATAGTAAAATAATAATTCTGTCTTTAAAAACATAAGCAAAAGAAATTATTATCTGAGGATAATTTGGATATAATATAAATCAATCAGACCTTTCTTTCCTGTCAATATCTGTATGCCTGGATTTCTAACTAAAAGTATCAAAAATATACGACAAGCAACAAAAAAGCATCCTTCCAGATTTTCAGTCCCAGCATTTCATTTAGGAAGCATATTGAATACCAGCTCTGACAGCCCTGTTAGAAGGAAGGGCTACAGAGGTTAATGAGTATAGTCAGTGTCCTCAGGAACCCACTGTTTGACTTGACTAAACCAATAATTATAGAGCCGCATAGCTGTGATAATAGATTTGTGGACAAAACGCCTCATTTCACAGCTTGCAGCACATTTCCTCCAAGATTTCTTCTTTTTTCTGGTCTCTTCCTTTCACCTATTTGTAAGACTCATCTCTAGGCAACTCACTCCTATATCTAACGAATAGATGCACATAGATTTTCACATATATGTTAAGTAGAAATAACGTAACAAATTAATAAAACAACAAATGTAAAAATGATAGAAATGAAAAAAAAATCCTAGTAATAAAATATAACATTTTTCTACTTTGAGGAAAATCCTTAAAAGTCAATAGAATCATTAATGGTTAAGTAACAGCTAAGTCATGTTTGTGTGTGTGTGTGTGTGTGTGTGTGTGTGTGTGTGTGTGTGCATGTCAAGAACTGGTTAACTTTTTCGACACTGTACTTTTGTCATTCAAAATTGAAAGCAAAAATTGGAAACAAATAAGTAACTTTTCAAAAAAGGCAGACCTTAGAACCTATGTTACAATTTTCCGTTCTGATCCAGGTATAAATAGCATTCTTTTCATTTTCAATAAATATTTTTTTATTTTTGTTATTATACTTTGTGTATATGTAAATGTTTGTTTGTGTTTGTGTTTGTGTATCTGTGTGTATGTTCATGTGCAGGACAGAAGTTCCATCTTATTTTTTGAGACTGGGTCTCTCACTGAACTTTGAGCTCATTGATTGGTTTGATTGACTAGGTAACAAACCCCAAAGATATTCCTGTTCAGTGTTGGAACTACAGGTGCACACATGCACCACTGCAGTCGGTTTTTCTTCTTAAATGTAGGAGCCAGGGATATGAACTCGGGTTTTAATGTACTTTGAGCACTTTATCAACTGAGCCATCTCCCTAGCCCCTTGTAAGTATCTTAATATGGCTTCTTTGTATACAAAATCATCATAGTAATCCTTTGTTTTTCAATCTATTATGCACTTCTTATTCCCAGAACGTTACTATTATCTTCAGAACTTCTCATATACCCAGTATGAAAACAGGCAATATTTAACTACTCACACATCAACAAGAATAAGCATGTCTTTAGGAGATGCAGCTCCTTGGATATACCTGAAAAAGAACCCATAGAAATTTTTTTTCTCCTGCCATTTATCTAACATTGATATATTACGTTAATATTTGTAAATTTCTGAAATAAGATATTTTCAAAGGAAAGACTGCTTCTGTAACATCTCAATAGACAATGTTTTTATGGGTTTTGAAATATTAACTTGAAAAATTATATTTAATATAACATTTGAGATACCAAAGGTATGACTTTGAAAGCACACTTTCCATATCTTTATAAGATAGAGACTAATTTTAAGGCTAGAAAAAAATGAAGCTAATTTCTGAAAGGATGTTTGGAAATCATCCTAGACTCCAATTATTAACCATAAACAATAAGCCACTGTAGCGAAAAACAAATTGTCATATTTTTAAATACAAAAAACAGAAAAAGATAGTGGTCTGAAAACTTTAGAAAAGGAAACATACACAAAAAGAAAATAGACAGGCCAGTTACATAACTAAGCATCATGGAATGTGTAATGTTATTACCAAGAATTCAAAGTGGAAACTTTCAAAGCTCCAGAGTGTCCAACAATCACTCAGAGAAGCAATTCAAAATGTTGATTACCAAACTCAACCAGAGCTTATAGGATTAAAATCTCTGCATTTGAAAGAGATTCTAGGAGAATTTTATTTGAAGAGTCACAAACCACAGAGAGATAAATTTGAGAGAGGGTGAGTAAAAGTAAAAACACTACTTGGCCAGAGACTAAAGGGGATCAAGGGCCTGCCTTCCCCATCAGGAATTCTAGCAGGCACTCTGAAGAGAAATTGGACTCCAAGTCTTTTTTTTTTTTATGCATAAAGCAGTTAATTTATTAGTGTGCCGGCACATGCTCTGTGAGATAGTTCTCAAAAGCAGAGCCCTGAGTATAATGGGGCTCAGTCCTTTAAAGGTTTTTGGCTTCTTGACTCCTATAGATAGTGACACATATTCTGATTGATATTTTAGAACATTGTAAGAGTATAGAAAAATTGCTGGAATATAAGGAGAAGAGGAACGCTGAAGGCTTGACCACGAGATGTGGCAGAAATGCACTTAGACACAGACACCTCTCACACCTTATGCTATCAGGAGGGCTGCACCTGGCTCAATGGAGAATTAGTTCTTGGACAATCTGCAGCACAGTTGCTATGTACAAAGGGTTATTGTGGAAGAAGCACTTCAAGTATATAATCTGCAACCAACTCATCTCTCTGTGGAATGATAAAGAGCCAGAGCTCTGAGTGTCTTCCCAAGGAAAAGAAGCCTAGCTTATGTCTAGCATCTTGATACTGATGTCCTGCTGCTGGGAAGATGAAAGGATAAGGATACTGTCTGGTTAATGTGATTCACAACTAGCTCCTGTATTTCCTTTAAAACAACCAATTCTGAAGTACAAACCATGTGATACAGTAGTATTATATCAATTCAATAACAAGGACAAGTACAGAGACATTGTCAAGAATAATATGCATATTGGCAACTATGACATAAAGTTAGCATTCATGAAAATTGCTGTTTGATACACAACAGCACACATAGAAGTCATTAATACATGTGCTTTCAATCAGTCATTATGCTGCTTAGTATTTGTGTAAACCCAGCAGGAAGTTAAAATCTCCAATAAAAGGGGTTTGCTTAAACTAATCTTCTTGAAAACATTAAGTATTTCTTCTCATCAATATATACTCAAAATAAATTGATATGAAAAGAATAGAGTACAAGCACTGTGATATACATGTGAACTTATTAAAAATAACATATTGACACTTTAAATGTAAATTTTAAATACTTGGAATATAGTAATAGTACAAAAGCATGAAAATTAATAGTTGTTCCCCAGTGAGTCCAAATATAGATTATCGATATTTTTTGTGAATGCTTTGTATAAGGAGAATAAATTAGTTCAGTAGTAAGGAACAAATAAACTCATTTTTGGAAAAAACAAAACTCAAACTGTATGAATATATCTGGGCAAAGCTCTTAGCTTGGGGCCAGTTCTCATTAGTTCATTGCCAGAGGCAAACTCTCTTCTACTCTGTGTCATTCCTCTGTAAGAGCTGTACTCCATGCAAACTGGGAGTCCTTCAACAGAAATCCCCACCAGAGATTCAAAGCTGACACTGTATATTAAAAAGTAGTCCATTTGAAATGAGTTTGAAAAATCATTTTCACAGTCTTCACCATCATTCTCCACCTGATCTCATCATCTGCATTTGTCCTTAATTATATTTATTTTTGAAAATATCATGGTATGCCACATAAGGAGAGAGCATCCATCCCAATAAGGGGACGTTTCCCCTCAAATTTAACAAAGGATGTAACCTCCTGCTACAGATGTTGTCTTAAAGCTTGTCAAAAGTTCATACCATGGTCTTCTGCGCACATCATAAAGATCAATCTTGTTTGGAGTTCTACTATTATCCACCCATGGAGAAGCTGAAATGAAAAATATTAGATAAATTAAGGCAAAGGATTAAGAATGATTGGACTGACAAGATGGCCCAGAAGGTTAAGGTGCTTGCCACCAAGGCTGACAAACTTAGTTCAATCTCAGGACTCAAATGGCAGGAGACAATCAGTTCCTAAAAGTTATCCTCTGACCTCAACATGTGTGTCATAGGACAGGTGTGTGTGTGAGCACGCGCATACACAGACAGAGACAGAGAGAGAGAGAGAGAGAGAGAGAGAGAGAGAGAGAGAGAGAGAGAGAGATGAAATTAAATATCTACAAAAATAGTGTAAAACTTAAAAATCAGCTGGGCCTAGTGGTAAATGCCTTGAATCCAAGTAGAGGCAAAGGAAGGCAGATGTCTGTGAATTTGAGGCCATCCTGGTTTGCGAAGTGAGTTCCAGACCAGCTGGAGTTACAAGACGGTTCTGTGTAAAAAAGCAAACAAATAAATAAAAACCTTAAAAATCATGCAGCATAAAAGAAACCCAAAATGCCACTTATCTATATGAATGTTCAAACATAAAATAGTGTTTTTACATCTTCAATGTTTTCCTTTTTTAAATTGGAAGCAACTGAGCAGCATAAAGGAAACTCAACACAAGCCAATTTCCTTGTTCATATCACCGCAGAAACAACAGACACAGGGTTTGTGTGGTGATTAACTTTGATGCCTTACCAGGTGTCCAGACTTAATGCATTTTCTTCCCATTCTTTAAGCAGAAAATCTACCTTTGATAGTACATGCATAACTAATGGAAGCTGCTTTCAATCATCTGATCTTCCCTCTAACATTCAGTGCATGTTGTCATCCTTTATAAAAGTTCTTTCCTGGATTGTTATCCTAAAGAAGCCTTCAATAGGCATGTGTTTAATAAATGATAACTATTATAAAGATTATTTATTAAAATAATTTCAGAGAGACTTTAACTTTTTATATTCAATTTCAGACTGAAATTATAATGGAAAGTTTAAACTGCAATTAAAGTAACTCCATGAAATTATTTTCTGCCAAACTGTCTTCTAAACATTTATACTTATTTCCACAGATCGGTGCAGTGCTCATGAGAGAAACTTCTTTTTGCAGTAGTCAGCAGTTAACAGAGACTTATAACTGCCCAAAGTGTAGAAAATAAGTGACGCTGGAGTACTAAGCTTTAAATCCATTTATTACACCTCATTCCCCTACTGTACAGGGGCTATCACTGAAGACAGAGTGCAAAAGTGGTAAGAGCTAAATCGTGTCCTCTGGAAATGGCTGGGCTATTGCACTCATGAACTCACAACAGCTGTGGTTGCCTGCACAAGAAATGTACAAGATCAAGTCCTTCAAAATTCTAGCATGAATGGGAAGGGCTCACAAGGCTCCATCCTTAAATGAAGAGCTACTGACAGTTGATAGTGCTGGGGGACAGAGAATTAGTTTTCTTCAAGGTTGTGGCCCATGCTCCATTGGATTGCCCTAAATCCACGGACAAATGGGTATCACAATTGTACTCAGTGGGCCATAGAGTGAAGGTGAAAGGACACAGTGGGATGGGACATGGAAAGAGTTGGAGGGGGGAGAAAAGAGGGTGGATCTGATCAAAATACATTGTATGCATGTATGAAATTCTCAAGGAATAAATATTAATTTAAAAATATTTTTAAATGACAAAAAATTTCTGTGAAATTAAATTTTTTTTAATTCTTCAAAATTTGAATAACGTGAAATAATGCAAGGAAGAAATCAATCATCTGGTAGTTTCATAATCTTTATGATTTTCTCATAACTGGAAAAAATCTTAAATGATTGATTTTAAAATGCAATTAATTCACACATATTCTAATCTGCATTTACTTTGATTATGATGCTGTAACCATCATTACTATCATTCACACTCTAGACCTAGTGAAGGAAAATAAATGCTGATGAACTGGATCAGATTTTTATGCCTCCGAAGTTCCTCTTCCCAACATATTCAGTAGTATGACTCATGAGAAATTCCCTAAATCATATGGCATGTGCACCATGATCTATTTTTTGTTTTGTTTTGTTTTCTTTAATGAGGAACTATGGAAATTATGGAGAACTCTGTTGAGAGTCAGGGTTATTATCTAACTAAAGTAACTTACCAATTAGGATATGCCAAAACATGTACAACTAAAGCTCTTCTGGACCGAAATTTCTTTCCCACGAGTAGCTATATTATAAAATGGCTTACTCATTCAAACAACTCATCACATTTACATAAACTATAAGTTTAAATGTAGCACCCCCAGAAGAACCAACCACTGACATAGTTAATATAAAATACAGTAAATTCACTTCTTTAAAAATTATTCATTTTTTATAAACACAAAGTACCAAGAATATAAATATCATTTTTTTCCTTTGGTAGTCCTAGAATTAAGCAGTAAGCACGTGCACATTTCAATTATCTTCCAAATATTATTGGAAAGCTCAAAAAGTGAGGGAGTGGATCAGGCCCAAAGGAGAGTCGTATGTTGCAAGCAGCAAAGTCAGAGGGGTGGAGCCATTGAAGTCGTTGGGAGCTAAAGTCCCAGGCATTAGATATGGAGTTATAGGATTTGGTGTTTGCTCTGCTTGTTTCTGGTCTTGCTGTGGTTTGGTATTTCTTAACTACGCCCTTTCAGAATAAGAATGTGTACTCTTTGCCACTGTGTGTTTGAGGTACATAATTTGTTTTTGATTTTATAAGAGGCCACAACTAAAAGATTGCCTAGACTTTGGATTTTTGAACAGTGTTAGATTGTTCGAGTTGAGACTATTAAAGACTATGGGGGCTTTTAAATTCTGACTAAATGAATGCTACATTATGATATGGCCACAAGCCATAGGGGGCGTGTGGTGGCTTGAATGAGAAATGTCCCCCATTGGCTCGAATAGTGAACATTTTCTCCCTAATTGGTGGTGCTTTTGAGGAGGGAATGGAATGTTTTGCAGGAATAACTTTGCTGGAAGAAGTATGCCACTGGGGGAGGGCTTTGAGAGCTCATATCCTCACCCCACTTGCAGTTTGCTCTGTTTCCTGTTTGCCATCTGTCATGATGGACTCATTCGTCTGTAAGCCCAAGTAAACTCTTGATTCTATTAAAAAAAAATTAGAGAAATTGTATCCTATCCATATCTTGTCGCTGGGTATACATTTACTGACTCTCAATTCTAACTGTATCCTTTTGGTTTGCTTCATAAACATGATCTGGGCCTTTTAAATGCTTTTCTTTTACTATTTAGCACAATTCTGTTAATTACCCACACATAATACAGGACACTGAATAAGAAAAGGGTATTTGTCTCCTGTTTCTGGTTTGTTAGCTCACAGGCTCTTGAACAGGAGCAAGTTATCGGTTTGCTCCAGTGCATGTGTTCAGCAGAGCCCAGACACTGCTCTTTCACAGCTTCCCCATCTCTCCATGTTCCTGCTGATTCAGTAGCCCCTGCAGGCTCCCAGAGGTCAGCAGTAGCCTATTACCACTGAACACAATCCCCAGACCCTCCCTCAAGCATTTTGTAGTAGAGAGCTTCTAGTTAACATCAGAAATCCCAGAGGACCATTTTCCACCAAGTTCCTCCAATGTGCCATCCCAGTGACTGCTCCGCCTTTGCGCGACCATGCCATGCCTATGGAAGAAGGTCTGGCTCTTAGGCCAGGATTTGAGGGGAAATTAAGACTCTTCTTTGTACACGTTATCTCAACATTAGATTTAGAGATTTATTTTATGTCTAACTGATATTTGTACATTTTTATAGTATTCTGTAATTCTAGCCAATCCATGTTACAGTTGATAATTATTTTAGAAATTTTTGTGTGCACATGTGTGCACGTGCGTGTGTGTGTGCATGTGTGTGTGTGTGTGTGTGTTTGCATCTGAGTGTGGCATATATTTGCTGTGTATGCACACTTGTGTGGGAGGTGTACACACCTATGAGCCTCCACAGGTCAGAGAAGAAAGTTTGGTGTTCTGATTCATCACTCTCTACCATATTGCCTTGAGACACATTCTTTCACTGAACATGGAGCTACGCTAGCAAGTCCCAGTGATCCTCTTATCTCAGTTGCTTCCACAATGCTGGCCTTACAGGCATTCAACTAGTTTTTTTGTTTGTTTTTGTTTTTTTCTTATTGTGGGTGCTGGGGATTTGAGCTCAGGTCCTCAAGCGTGTGCAGCACGTCCTTTTACCTGTTGAATAATCTCCCCAGCAACAATGAATAATTCTTAATTTTAACAATAAACTTTCCCTGGTTCAAAATACCAAGTGTTTTTTTTTTCTGTTTCTTTATAGGTCCAAGGTTGACAGAAATGCACAGAACAGATGAGAATGAAATTACCTACCACAGCCAATATAGCACAAGAAAACATGATTTGAAAACTATCAGCAATGACTTTTATAAGTAATTTAATCAGGCTGAAAGTTTTTAAAGATATTTTAAAGTTAGATTTCTTAATTATGCTTTCCTCATTTTGTGCATGTGTTTATATGTGTATGCATGCTTTTTGCTTGTGTGCAGTATGGGTGCATGTGAGCATGCATGTTTAGCCCCAAGCTCTCAGGAATCAGCTTCCATGGCCCTTCCACCTTATTGAGGTCAAGTCTCTCAATGAAACCCAGAGCTTGCTGACATGACTAGTCTTGCTATCCAGTTTGCTCCGGGAAATCCCTTTTCTCCACCTTCTGAGGCTGGAATCACAGTGGGGCCGCCATGCCTACTAAGCATTTATTTACATGGGTCCTGGGATCTGCACTCAGTCAGTCCTTAGGCTTTCACAGGGAGTGTTCTGTCCACTGAGCTATCTCCCTCATCTCAGATTTCTTAACATTGTATAGATAACATTAGTATGAGATTTTTGTTTTCACTACAATTGCTAAATGAAATCTACAGATAGGAATTATTATGCTCCACAAAATGTACACATTTCTTTAAAGACACAAGAAAATTAAAAGGATATAATTTATGTTATGAGAAAGAACATTAAATTTTAA